AAAAAAAAAAAACTTAAAAAAATATAAAAACCTTAAAGAATTTAGAACATTTGAGTCCCCATTTATCCCATTATCTGAAAAGTTATATAATACCTCAGTCAGATATATCAATATTATAACTAAATGTTTTGCAGATTTCTATCCGGAAATATATTCCCAGATTTAAGTTTAAAAATACCACAGTTTTTATGTGTTTGGTTCATTTGATTAAAGAAAAAAATTTTAAATATCATAATTTGTCCTGAGATGTCACCAGTTTCAAAATTATATTTACAGTTTGCATTTAAGGTTAAAGTAAAATAGATTCTTTTCTCTTTTAAGCAGAAATTTAAATTAAAGGAAAATCTATTTATATGAAGTTTACTTTCATATGCACTGAGGATATATTTATTTCTTGTGTTAACAAGATGTAAAACATCTCAATAACCTAAGAATCTACCTTGACTCTGCACATTCAGAGAGACCAGGAAATGGCAGATTTCCTATTTGTACCATCATTTAGTGTGGCATGAAAATCTGGTTCATTATGGGAAACCTATCCATAATAAGCCGGTTATTCTTGTACATGCTTAAACTAATGATTCTCTTCTAATTCTAGTGTCTACATTTCCTAGTTTGGGATTAGTCGAAATCATTTGTTCTTTAAAACATATGTAACTATAATTTTACACCCATTTAATTTTCTTTATTTAGTTAGATATTTATTGAATACGTAAAATATAATGATAAAAGGTTCTTGGATTTTAGAGATTAGATACAACCTTTGTTCATTTGTAATTATATTTTATTTTATTATGTTTCTCAAATATTAATAATTGCACCTTATAGTTAGCAAAGATAAGATAGAATGATGGCTTATTTAGGAAAAAGATGCGTTGTATCCCTGTAATTATCTCATTCTTAAAATTGAAGTTTAAAGCAATGGATAACATATATTAGACAAAATGTTCATATTTTTTATTGAAAATATGCTTCTATAAACACAAGCAAATATGTATTATAAACTTGGATCAGTTCTTCTATTTCAGAGGATATATCATCATAAACAGATTTTATTTCCCCAGAGTAGATATTTTCCTCAAAGTAGAATTTGATATGTATATAGCTTTTAAAATGACTATTTTACAGATCATGACAAGATGTACATTTGTAGTCTCTTTTTTCTAAGGAATTATCAAGTACATACACATTTTAAAAACTTTATTATAGAGAAATTTGAACATACACAAAAATAGTATACCTTTATGTACCCATCTCCTAGCTCTTTCAGCATATAAATAACCCTGTTCATCCACAGCTTTCGCGTTGCATTTATTATGATGAGGAAAATCCACATTTTATCCATAAGTATATTTCAATGTTTCAGAGATCTTTATCGGTTAAGATAACAGATAAATACACTAATTTCTATGTGTGGAATATTAAAATTACAGATTTTACTACAGTTTTTAACATTAGTTAGCATCAATGAGTTGTTAAAATTATATTTGCAGCCGGTTGATTATAAGGGAATTGACAATAATGACTTTAGATGAACTATTCCTTTACAGTCTTAGGGCTAGTGTTTTACAGAGTATGTTCTTTGGACTATTATTGTGCTATGAGCTCTTAGTAGTTGTATCAAGTAAATAAATTTGAAAAATTCTTAATATGTTTCTCTTGAATAATGAGAAAGCAGTTTAGCTTAGTAAAGTCTCAGATAAGTTCTATATTATATATCAAGGGATCTTGTTTCACTTTCTTTAAACACAGTGTTTTCTATAGTAATTTGACCCTTTAAATTTTCTCTTTTCTTTTTATATTTATTTATTTATTTTTGTGTGTGTGTGAGAGAGAGAGAGAGAGAAAGACAGACAGATATATACACAAAGGGGATTGAACCCAGGACATCATCCATGCTAAGCAAGTGCTCTACTACTGAGCTGTATGTATCCCAATTATTTTTAATTTTTTATTTATTTGGTACAGAGATTGAACCCAGGGGTGCTTAACCACTAAGCCTCATCCCCACCTCGTTTTATTTTTTATTTTGAGACGGATTTTTTGCTAAGTTGCTTAGGACCTCACTAAATTGCTGAGGCTTTCAGTGAACTTGTGATCCTCCTGCCTCTGTCTTCTGAACTGCTGGAATAACAGGTGTGCACCACCCCCGACCCAGCCATTTTTTAAAATTTTATTTTGACAAAGGGTCTTGCTGAGTTGCCCAGGCTACCTTGAATACAGTCTTCTTGTCTCAGCCTCCCAAGTAGCCAGGATTACAGGTGTGCCACTGTGCTTGGCCCATGTACCTTTTTCTTATCCTATAAATACTTCTGAATGTCTCTCTGGAGGTTAGTGTTCTAGAAAACAATTTGAGAAACATTGTTCCATGTTATCGGCTACCCATGGACCTACTAAAGATTCCTTAGTCCCAGCACAGATTCATTCGAATAATCTCCCAGAGAGAGGCAGAAATGTGTGTTTTTATAAATAGAATTCATAAATAATTGTGATGCCCACTTGAGAAGCCACCATGGTACTGAATTGTGCCAATCATGAAATTTGGTGATAGCCGTTTTTTCTGATTGAAATCGGTAGTAATCATTAAGGATTATACCTGAACACTGTGCCTTGTGCTTAAGTTTCTACTAAATTTTGAGTAAATATGTTTTACTAATTCAGGAAGCATTAATATAAAATATTTTTCAATACCATGAAATCAGTCTGTGAACATAGAACTAATCTTAGTGTGTAGTCGAATTTCTCTGTTCTTTAACTCATGACATAAATCTAAAATATTTTATTTTTTTAATGACTGGGACTTTAGTATAATTTAATATGTTCTATATAACAAATATGTGTTATTATAAGAATATATTCATTTATTTAATGAATAATACACTAGCTGCCTTTTTATTTGTTCTAAGTACTGCTGAGATTAATAATGTTAGCATTGTAGATTAACTAATTGTGTAACTGTTAGCTCTAAGAGTGTCAGTTACTTCATTTGGATCCCCTTGCTCAATAAGAAAAACATTTTTATGATATTTGTGTATATGATATTAAGATGAAGATCTACTAGCTCCAATTTGGTATGTTTTACATATCAAAGTCTCCACATCTAAGCTGTGAGTGGTCTGATATTTTATCAGCAATCAAACATTTTAAAATTAATTTTCTTCACATAGTTCATGGGTATCTATATACTTATCTTCAATAAAACCATCATCTTCTGCCACAAATGAATGTAACTGCTCAAATATTACTGTAGTGTCTTCAGAGTTTATGTCTCCTATATGTGGAAGAGAATTTGAATTTCCAGGAAAACCATCTTCGTAGGTTTCTGCCTCATGCTCTTCTAGGCGACGATGATTGTAACTAAGCAGAAAATTATACCATATTGGGCATTTGATAGCAGTTAAGATGAGGAGTGAAGTCATCAGTGCAGTGACAACAACACCAACAAGAAAAACCCAACTTTTTCCAAGAGGTTCATGTTCTTAAATGGAAGAGAAAGAGATTTGGTTAAGTTGATGAAAATAAATATGTAATATTCCTATTACTCTCCAATGTTGGTACACAAAAGTTACTAAATAAAAGATATTTTATAGTATGGTGAAATAATACCTTTTCCTAAAATAATTACAGTTTGGGCATCCTTAATCTGAAAATCCAAAATGCTCAAAATTCCTTAAATGGAAAATTTCACATCTGACCTAATGTGACACATTAGTCAAAGCACAGGTGCATTAAAAATATTGTTTAAAATTATCTTTAGGATGTATGTATAAGGTGTTTTTGAAACAATTGTATTTCATATTTACACTTGGCTTCTATCTCATTATGTATATGCACATATTTCAAAATTTAAAAAAAAATTCAAAATTCAGAACACTTTGGTCCTGAGTATTTTGGATAAAGGATACTCATCCCTTACCCACTTGTCTTTGCAGGTATTGCTACTCATTCACACAAGACAAGTATTGATTTACATACATTAAAAAATTATAATTTGTCTCAAATAAGTGAAATAATCAACTGTGGTATTTGGGTGATAACTAATAGAGCCTACATTGAATTCTAGTAGCTCTAACACCTTCAGCAATATTAATATTAAAAACCAATACATTACCTGAATTTCTTGTGAAATTGTTTAAAGAACTATTAAAAGTTGAATTGCTAATGGACTGAAAATGAACATAAAGATCTTCAGTTATAGATGAAGCAAACTTTGAGTAGCATTCAGCCATATAGGGTACTGTTTTGATACTGTAGCACGTCAGGCTGTGTGGATAGCTACACATGGTGATGTTCTCATTTTCTGGTAAATAAGAGTGAATAAATTAAGGCTTATTATAGAGAATAAGAATGGTTAGCAACATTTATAATTATTTTATCTATATTTTTGACATGTCTCTCATTATTAAGGATGTTATAACGAGGTCTTGATGTGTTTGCATAGTAACACAATGAGGGGTGATACACATTCCCATTACTTTATAAATACATTTTAAATGCATTAACTATTTATATATTTTAGTCTGTGTTTATAAAGATTTTATGATTATGATAGTGGCTACAATCTGGATCTCAAGCAGTATTTGGTTTGCAGTTAACAAAGTAAGACACCTTTTTTTTTTTTTTTTACCTACTCTGCAACAAGATATCTAATAATAAACAGGAAGTACTTAAAGAAAAACAAATTGGTCTTATGTGTTGTCTCTGCAAGCTCAATACATTTAAATTTCTTTATAGTCATTTAAATTTCTTTATAGAGGTGGGGAATGGAGAGTAACTCTTTAGGGATGATTTTTTTGGGATTTTTTCCTTCTTGCACAGCACTGGCAATCAAACCCAGGATCTCATGCTTGCAAGGCAGGTACTCCACCACTAAGCTACATCCCAAATCCCCAGAAGTTACTTTTTAAATATTTTTTCCTGCTTTTCTTTAACAGAAATTTTATTTCTTGACTTTTTGGCAGTGCTGGGATCTATTCTGGAGCCTTGCAAAATGCTACAACTTTAGCCCAATAGATAGTTTTTCTTTCTTTTTTTCTTGTCAGTATTGATTATTGAACCCAAGAGTACTCCACTGCAGAGCCACATTTCCATCCTTTTCTAAATTTTAATTTTTAGGCAGTGACTAAGTTACCCAACTGGCCTCAAACTTTCTATCCTCCTATCTAAACTTCTCTAGTTGCTGGAATGCATTACCACACTCAGCTGGATTTTTTTGTTGGTTGTTTGTTTAAACATGAAAAAGATTTTTCTAGGGCAAAATGCCAAAAGTTAATCACATTTTAATTTTAATTAAATGATGATACCTTACCTAGTATCACATTTGATGTTTTCAACCAGTTCTGCAAATTGAATAAACTACAAGTGCAGTTCCATGGATTTCCATATAAAATTATTAATTCCAGATGAAATAGTTGTGGTACATCAAAGTAGCTTATCAAATTTCCTTGCAGATTCAGAAGTTTCAGGTTGTTTAACGGCATAAACATGTCAGGATTTAGTTGTAATATTTTGTTTTGGCAGAGATGTAATTGTTTTAGTTTATTTAGGCCTACAAATGCATTCTGTTGAATAACATGAATGGAGTTTCTACATATATTTAAGATTTCTAGATTGGAGAGGTTACTGAAACTACTATTATGTAAGATAGTGATATTGTTCTGAATCAAATAGAGCTCAGTAAGTAAAAAATACTTCTGTAGCACCCTTGTGTCTGTAACATTCAAAGTAATTTTGTTATAACTGAGATCAAGGATAGTAACATTATTATTGATACCCACTGGAATCAAAGAATAATCCTTTTCAGTGAAATTACATTTGACTTCCTAAAAAAGAAAAAAAAATTAGATATTTTATTAATCAGGAAAAAATAATATAATTTCTCAAAATTTCATATTCATGTACTTTGATGTTGGAAGGAAATCATTTTGGAAAAAATATCTCTCATCTTTAGGCATTATAATGTGGAAAAGTGAATGTTTTTAATGATGAAATGGGGAAGATTAGGGAAATTCTAATAGAATAAGTAGGGAAATCCTAGTAGTATGTTATACAGGTATCTTCCAACTGTAATTAATGTAATCATTACAGAGAGAAAGAATATTGATATATTGCTGTTTTATGTGTAGAAATATTACATAATTTGGTTAACTTAATATTTTAACATGCAAGGTAGGCATTTCTAGGGGAATTATTTAAAATGTATAATTTTTTAAAATCAGTGGAGATAACAACACATAGCTAGGGCTCTTAAATAATTAAAAAATAATACCCAATTCAAGCTTTGTTGGGCCAATATCTAAAAGTTTCATATTTTAAAAGGAAATATTTTGTCTTATATCAGAAATTGAGCATCTGTGAGTAAATTTAATGAGCCACACAACCTGAAGTGCTTTCCTTCTGTGGATATAGATACAAAGGAATAATGTTGTTTTGCCTGTCTTTGCAGTTGAAATTTCTCCTATAATTTTAAACTGTGGTTTTTATATCTTGGAACTAATCTCAGATTTTATAGTGAAAATTTACAGATTTCTCCTTTCACCAACTTTTAAAAAAGAACTCAATTTAAAAACAAAGTAAAGATTACCTTTGTCAAGTTAGGATGACTCAGATCACAGATTTGAATATATACAAATAACTAAAGAATAGTTTAGGGATCAGATTTTGTGGTGGTGGTGGTGTTTGCCTTTAGATATTTTAGACATTTCTCTTGATTATAAAAACTTACTATTTTAGAAGTCTGGCTTTTGTCCGATAATAATAGCATGGAGAAGGGCCAAAACAAGACTGTGATGCATGTGAATTTCATATTGCAGGCCTGAGAGAAGAGAGAGTATTTCGTCTCAGTAAAGACAAGAACTGTAAAGATTATTGAGAACATATGGATTTTCTTTTCTTTTAAATCTCTTTTTTCTTAAAATACATAGAATAAGAAACAAGTTCATTGCTATTCCCCATCCCTGCACTCTGATCTTAACAGAAGCTCCTGTGGAGAATGATATTTTCTAAGTTGTCTCATGAGATCTTTTGAAAGAAACTTTAAAGTACATTTAAATTTTTATTAAATATATAAAAAAAGAAAGTCCAGAAGAATGTATGTTTATGTGTATATGTGTGCTTGATTATATTCATGTATTGCTAATTCTTGATTTTTCAATTTTAGGTGTTATTTGTTGGTGTTAATCCATTGGCTTATAACTAACTGTGGGAGATGAAAATCTGTAGCTTTCTTTCAAATACTCTCTATCCTACTCTTAAATACATCATTGACTTCCAAATATAGTCACTTGTAATTTTAGATGGCTATTCAGCATTTATGTTATCACAAGTATATATAAGTTATCAGTGACTGAGCTATGTAAGAGGATTACTTTCCCATTGCTACATGGTTTTTTTACTCTAAATTAATCAGATTGTTTTTTTTTCTTTTTAAAATGAATTTATGTTCACACTATCTCATGGTAATTCTCTAGTTAATGCATTTTAGATATTTAATCTCTTTCATTTGCTTACAAATGAGCTACCATGCTTTAAGCTAGAGAAACTGATCAATGGGCCTTCTTTCTACATGGTTGTTGACTTCTGCCCTTATCACAGAAATTCTCTTTTGCCTGCCTTATTGGATTCCTGTTTTTCTAGAATGCCCCTTTTTTTTTTTTTTTTGGCTTATTACCTCATTTCAGTGGTGCTTCATAACTTCTGGAAAAAGTACATAGGATGGAAAAATTTTTTTGGACCTTGAAATATACTTTGGCTAGAAATTGAATCTAGATGGGAAATAATTTTTCCTGAAAATGTTGATTTTCTTGCCCCATTGTCTTTTGAGTTTCAGTTATTACCTTATTTTACTTATTTATCCTTTTAATGTACCTTGCCTCTTCCTAACCCTAAAAGCTTCTAAAATCAGTATTCTGGAATTCATGATTCTGTGTCTTTGTGAGAGTCTAATTTCATCAGTTAAACTGGGTACTTGATTGTTACTTTGAATCTGGAAGCTGTATTTCTAATTTTTGGGAATTTTTCCATTAATAATGTTGACGATACTCTTCATCACTTTTTTTTTCCTCCAAGTCCTGCTTCTCTATGGAGAACTACCTTATTATGTATTGCACCTTCTGGAATGATTTTCTTTCTACTCTCCTATATTACATCTCTTAGGTTTTGAAGCATCCTCAATTTTTATTCTCAAATTCTGTTAAAGATTGCTATTTCCTTTCTTCTTTTTAATTTTAAGAACTTTTGTTCTCTCAATATTTTCTGCAGCAGTATCTGTTGAGTTTCTTGCCTTTATTATTATTTTGTGTATGTGTGCCTTTTGTTGTCTTTTCCCTTAAATAGAATGTGTCCCCAAGCTATACTTTCCCAGTTTTTTGGAGGCTTTGTTCATATGTTAATATTTTGTTGTGAGGTTATGTAGAAGAGTGAGGAACTGAAAAGCTGATTGGAATTAGCATTTTAGAGTGAACTTGCTTGACTGTTTTCTTAAGGAATCCATAAATGTCATTATTTTTAGACTTTTTTAAAAGATTCTTTTAAAACAAAGGTTTTTGTTTTTGTTTTTGTTTTGTTTTGCTGGTAGGATGATTGAACCCAGAGCCTTGAAGGCACTAAGCAAGTTGAACCTAGCCCCTCCTCTACTTTTAGAATACCTGGTGCTGCCATTTCTGAACCATTCAAAGTTCTTGCAGAATATAAATCAAGTGACTTTTCAGTGTTTTTCCATTTGCTGACTTGGGAAAATTTTGCTTTCCCAGTCAATTTCTATTCATCTATTAACTTTGTGCTTTGTAAGTTTTATTGTTATTGTACCCTCTGTTATTTGTGTCATTGTGAGTTTATACTCCTTTTAACCTTTTATTTATTTTTTCCAAGTTTTGGGCAGTAGTTGTGTTATTGGCTGCATTTCATATGTTATTTTTTACCAAAAATTGCCATTTGTTGCAGAATACTATTCTTATTAAATCATTAACTTTCCATTTAATCATTTTATTCATGATCTTTGTTTCTCATTCTGTTTTCTCAAAGTTGACACTGGAAATCCTTCTGCAAACAAATTTTCTGATTTGAAAGGGTATGAATACATCTGTCATTAGGGGTCTTTTAAAGTTTAGTCTTTTAAGCCTTCTTAGAGCATTTGTAACAGTTAAGATGCTTCCAGGAGAATATTTCAATAGACCTGGAATTAGAAAAACTAATCTTAATGAGAAGATTCTTTTCAAATTACTAAAGTTTGTTGTCTCATTAGCAATAGGAATTTATTATTTCAGTGCTAGTCTGTTGTAGTCACCTTACTCATTGCCTTCAGTTCATTTGATTGATCTATTTAATCTTATTCCCCATCTACTCTCTCTTTGCATAGTTAAATTTGTTAGAAAAAGCTATTTGGCCTCCTAGATTTGATGCAACTCAAATATAGATAATAATAGAACCGTTTTTAAAGCCAGAAATGAGTTAAGCTATCACTATTCCTGTCCATTGCCCATAAAGGGAGATGCCTAAATTTAAATTTACAAAATATATATTATGTGTGTTTAATGATCTCTAGGGATAGTTACAGTGGTGTGGTAAAGTTCTTACTGAAGTTTCTGGTGGAATGGAGAGATGAGTAAGGGAGAAGTGCTGTTTTTCAGATATATATAGTAGATAGGGGTGATTAAAGGAAGCAAATAGACTACAAAGAAAACTGAATTTAAGGACTTGATGTGGAATAGAAGCAGGTGAAGAAGAAAATGAAGGCAAGGTAAGACTGTGAGCGTACATGGAAATGTAAATAGGACAGTCTTAAATTTATTTGCTGTGTTTTTTTTTTTTTTTTTTTGCATTACCAATTTTAATCTGTAAAGGACATCCTAATACAGCAAAAGCAGTCAAACAATGAGAAATAACATGTTGAGTATTTTCTTTTGCATGGACTGTGGCAAAGATAAATCTAGAATAAGTAACTACGATTACATGAACATATCTTTTTAATAATAATTGTTTTCTCTAGTGTGCTAAAAAATAAAATTACAAGACTTAGAAAAGAAAATGTTTTCACTGGCACAGTGGCACTTATCTGTAATCCCAATGTCTTGGGAGGTAGAAGCAGGAGGATTGCAAGTTTGAGGCCAGCCTCAGCAATTTAGCAAGGCCTTAAGAAACTTAGCAAGACCCTGTCTCAAAATAAAAAATAAAAATGGCTGTGGGTGTAGCTCAGGGGCAAAGCACCCCTGGGTTCAATCCCTAGTACAAATAAAGAAAAAGTAAATGTTTTCCTTCCTCTTGATAAATTGTAGACTTAAAAACAGCATATGCTCAGCTCAAGGTTCTGTACAAGGAAACATTCAACAAATCTAAAGCATTATTAGATCTAAAGTTATGAAATACACTGAGCCACATATGTATGTGCCTTTTGAGAGCGGGAAAAATTTTAGAGACAGAGTGACTATTGATCATCACGACACTGAAAGGCAGTATTGCTGTCTGCCTTTAAGAAATCATCTCCACAGAGTGGCAAGTCAGAAGATTATGAAGAAATTGTTCATGAGTCAATGTACACTTTCAAAAAGTTGATTTAAAAAGAAAACAATTATTTTCTGTTTTTCTTCTTTTGGAATTTTTCTTCTCATTTTGAAATATTATTTTGAGTTTTATGTAATGATTATTTAGGATCTAATAAAAATAGAAACCAAGTAGAATATCAGTTTTTAAAATTATTTCATAAAATTAAGAGCCCTTTTACATAGCTTACAATGTACACTTCACATAAAAAAAAGAGCTTTAGACAGGAAATGATAAGTTATTAAAAAAAGAAGTCATATTCTTAATGAGGTTTAAAGTACAAGTTCAGGGATTTTGTTATTAATGTGTTACTATATGCCATGAAATAAATGGATGTTACAATTATATAGGTTAAATGAAATCCATACATAATTTTCTCATTACCTGTTTTAATTATTTGTGTCAGAATTCAGTGTATTTGGAGTAAGATGGTAATGATTGATGGTTAACTTTATTCCTGTCCTTACCAGTTTTATAGAATATTTTTGTTTGTTCTTGTTTTGTGTATATGAGTGCAAATTTAAAAACTTGAAATGGAAAACTTTAAGGAAACAAAACACAAGTAAGGATAATAATTGTTTCCCAGTTTCAGTAGTTTCTATTAGCGGTTCCTTTCCTCTTGCACATTTGCTTTTCAGTTAAATGCTCCATTGATATTATATTTCAAAATAAAAAGTTTATGAATTTGATTGGATAGACTTAACCTTTTGTTCTTCAAAGAAAAATAGTTACTTTATATTTCATCATAATTTTATTTGGGAAAGATTTCTTGGTCATGTTTTAGGGTTATATTATTTTTGAGGTAGACCATGTGAAAATATAATCACATTTTCTGCTCTTTCATTACTTATTAAAGGAAATGATTGTTGTACAGATTTAACACAGTTAATTTTTTAAAATTCAGCAACAACCAAACCTATAAATATATATCATCTTACCTTTACTTGTTCCTTTTGTCTCTGAGACTGGTGTGCTGAAGAAATTTATTCGGTTTCTTTTACACCATTAGAGCTGGGCACAGAGGAGCTCACATAGAAAAAAGTATGTCATATGATTTCACTTTGTCTTAACCTTTGTACCCAGTGAATAAGTGATTAAAAAAAAAAAAAAAAAAAAAAGCTGAACTTCCTTAGCAAAAGATTGACCAGAAGAAAAATTTCTTAAAGTCGTCTTTGACTTTGTCGGTGCAACAAGGAAGGGGCTTGCTTAACCTTTTTTGTTTTTTGGGTACCAGGGTTGAACTCATGGACACTCGACGGTTGAGTCACATCCCCAGCCCTATTTTTTTTTTGTATTTTATTTAGAGATAGGGTTGAGACAGGATGATTGCACATTCAAAGTCAGCCTCGCTGCACTAAGCAACAATTATGTTTCTTACTCTTCAAAATGTTATCAAAATATTGACAAATTGACAATTTAACTTTGTGACTTAAAGTGTGTGATATTAAGAAGGGATTTTTTTAAAAGATATATTGTTTCTAAAGTAACTTGTTAGTCCTAAAGCTATTTTGTGTTTAGAAAGATACAGATTGAAAAAGTATAACACTATGTTTGGATTCCATTTCCTTTCAACTTGTTATTTACTCATTTTTATGACACCTTCACAGGTTGTTTTACTGCCAAGTTAAAACAGGAGCAAAGTGCTCAAATTACCAAAAGACCTGTCAGTTGGCCATTATATGACCTTCAGAAAATCAGTTACCTTCCTTATGCTATAATTTCCTGTCTGTAAAATGGGAAACTCTACAACATTAGTTCCCATCTAACTACAGTAAAATAATTACGAAATTTAGAATGATTTAGTTCTAAAAGATTAATACTTTTGGGCTTTTGTATCCTTGCTCAATAAAACAGATTTAAACAGATGATACTTTCTGCTTAGAAGTTCTGTGAGCTCATATACCTATGTAAATTGTAATAACAGCAAACGCATTTGTTATATTATAATTATAATTCAAAGGGAATGCATTAGTTATCTGTCTCATTATGTTCATCTTTCATTTGGTTATTTCAAAATGATGTTGGGAAATTTTGGAATTTAGATTATTTGTGCTAGTGGTGAGTAGAAGAATATGGGGATCTGTGCATCCACTGGGCTTAGCTGGTGATTGTGAAAACTGTAGTTGATATCTATGAACAAAATACAGTAAATCATGATAGATTAATCAGAGTTTGAAGCCAAATTAGAACTTTTAAGATGTTGAGACTGAAAATACATTAAATCAGGCTTTTATATGAAAATCTTTAAGTATTTACATAGGTTCTATCTCAACTATTTTTTTTTCCAGAAACTTTATCTACTCTATTAATTGAGTTTACACATAAGGCACACAATACTGGTATTTCTTGTAATTATATGATAAGATGATTATTGTCTCTAATTTACTTCACTGTTACTTAACATTTATATTTCTAGGGAGATTAAACTATTACAATGCTAAAATAGTGATAATTTATTTAGATACCTATTTTAATTAAATTGGTAGGTAAAGGGAATTTAAGCAAAGCATAATATTTAAAAAAAATTTTTTTGATGTTGACAGATCTTTATTTTATTCATTTATTTATATGTGGTGCTGAGAATTGAACCCAATGCTTCACACATGCTAGGCAAGTGCCTTACCACTGAGCCACAACCTAGCCCAAAGCATAATATTATAGATATTCATTTGCTTGTTTATCATGATGCTGGATCAAACTCAGCATGCTAGGCAGTTAGTCTACCACTGAGCTACATGCTCAACCATTTTCATTGTTGTTACTAATGCTTTTTAAGAGATGAGGAGTCTTGCTATATTGCCCAGGCTGGCCTTGAGCTTCTGGGCTCAATCAGTCTTCCTGTCTCAGACCCTCAAGTAACTGGAACTATAGGCATATTATCACCATGCCCAACTAAGTAAAGCTTACTGTTAGTCTAAAGGTATGGTTTCTTTTTTAAAAAATCAAATTGTATTAGAGGTCTCCCTACTTACCAATTCAGTCAAAGCTGAATTGATTTACTTGGCAGATTTCTATACAAGTTTTCATTTGTTCAAAGATTTCCTGTGGCTAAAGGATGTTTGAAAACCATGATTCTGGGCTGGGGTTGTGGCTCAGTGGTAGAGTGCTTGCCTAGCATGCATGAGGCACTGGATTCGATTCCCAGCACCACATAAAAAAACTAAATAAACAAAATAAAGGTATTATGTCCATCTACAACTAAAAATAAAAAGAAAAGAAAACCATGATTCTAAAACTTAACTATCTTATATTTGTCTCTAGTGTATGACAACAAAAGTTATAAATGTATCTTCATATGTGTAAGGACTTAATAATCTGTTTTCTTTTAAAGTAAAATAAAGAATATAGAAATAGGATTTGGAGATGGAAAAGAGAAAGATGTAAAAATAAGCGTGTGTTTATGAAGGCCACTGTTTCAATATCTTTAGGTACTCTATTAAATTTTAAGACCTAACTGGAATTATTTGATTTTTTTCCTCAATATAGTAATGGAAATATTGTGCGTTTTTGATTTCAGGAAAGAAAAACAAATTAGAAGTGTAGAAGAAGAAGTTGAACAAGAAAAACAAGCAGCAGATGGTATTATTAGAAATATGTCTCCTGAAAAACAAGTCAAGTACATAGAGATGAAAACCACAAATGAGAAACTGTTGCAGGTAATATTAATTACTATAATGTGCTAGGCATATATCAGTCTTGCTACTAAAAGCATCTGAAAATCAAACAGCATTAGCATACCCTGAGCTTGACTAGATCTGGTGATCAGAGTATTCATTTTAACAAGATCTTCTGCTAATTGACATTATATAATTATTATTTGTTCAGTTCTATGCATTCTTCATTTTTTTTTTTTAAAGAGAGAGTGAGAGAGGAGAGAGAGAGAGAGAGAGAGAGAGAGAGAGAGAGAGAGAGAGAGAGAGAGAGAATTTTTAATGTTTTATTTTTTAGTTCTCGGCGGACACAACATCTTTGTTGGTATGTGGTGCTGAGGATCGAACCCCGGGCCGCACGCATGCCAGGCGAGCGCGCTACCGCTTGAGCCACATCCCCAGCCCCCATTCTTCATTTTTATATATCATAAAGATACATGAAAATGCTTGCATTTTTATGAATTTTTAATGAGAACTTTAAAAGACCTCATGAACTAAAGGAGCCATCATATGGATATTAGCTTTCTTTTTCTTCCTGTCTAATAAACAGCAACTCTTTCACCTGTTATGTCCTCAGTTTGAATGGTTATTGTTCCCTAATCATGTTAGTTAAGTAACAATTTAGGTGGCTGCTGAGGGGTCATTGATAATACATTGTTCAGTTATGATGGTGCCTTTCATATCTAGCTGCTCCTTAAAAATGTTAGCAAGACTTAGGCCCTGTAAATGCCCATAGTGACTGTTTAGTTTCTCAGATATTTCCTTCAGTGACCTTTTAGTTTAAACTTTTACTTTAGACAAAATTTATAAGATACAATGAAGTGGGGCTGGAGATATTAGCTCAGTTGATAGAGTGCTTGCCTTGCATGCATAAGGCCTTGGGTTCAATCCTTAGCACCAAAAATAAAATAAAAAGATAAAATGAAGCTTTGAAGAAAAATATTGTAGAAATATTACAGATATGACACAATAGTTACCAAATACTTTGTTAGGACCAAGGTATACTTAATTTTTCTGAGGGTTATAATGAATAATCAGTTTAAGGATTTTTTTAGCTTTTTATCTGCTGTGACTAAAGGACCCACCAACACAATTGCAGAGGAGAAAACATTTATTTGCAGCTCCTGGTTTCTGAAGTCTTAATCCATATGTAGCAGGCGCCATTCCTCAGGGCTGGAGCGGGGAGGGAAGCAGCTCACTTAATAATCAAAGAGCAGAGACTCCACTCTCAAGATACAAATATATGTACCCCAAAGCCATACCCCCAATTCCGACCTCCAGCCACACCCTACCACGCCAGTTATGACTCAGTTAATCCCTATCAGGGGATTAATTCACTGATTGGATTAAGACTCTCACTACCCAATCATTTCTCCTCTGAACCTTCTTGCATTGTCTCACACATGAGGTTTTGGGGAATATCTCACATCCAACCATAACAAGAATCTTATCATAGGATATGAGCAAAAGATTTTTAAAAATGTGGTTAAAAATGAGTAGCAACCCCTGGCAAGGCAGTATTCCTAGCTGGTTCAGCCTGTGAACAGGCAGTGGTCAGGGACTGCCAAGACCCCAGTGGTTGGAGAAGTTCTGACACCCCAAGTAAAATTCCTGCTGTGAGGACCAAAAAAAAAAAAAAAAAGAATTTTAAGCAATGACATCATTAATTTTAAAGCTTCTGATATTTAAAATTATCAGAACACCATAATGATTCATCATGAAAAGATCTAGCCACATTTGACAAGCTTACAAATTTTTTTTGAAGGTATATGGCAAAGTTTTTAAAGGAATCAGTAAAAAATAGAAATATTGAAATGTTAATAAATTCTAGTCAATATACAAGATATCAATTGAAGATATTTACAAAATTTACTGTGTAAATTTGAATGAAAATGAAATAGAAATTCTTATTGTAATTTCTACTTGCCTTTTCTTCCCCCTTCTTAGGAATTAGATACACTTCAGCAACAACTAGATTCACTGAACATGAAAAAAGAGAGCATGGAAACTGTAAGTATAAAATCAAATAAGAGTACTTAACTTAATTACAAAAGATAATCTAGCTGATTGTTATTTATTTATTTATTTATTTATTTAGTGGTGCTGGGGATTGAACCCAGGGCCTTGTGCGTGGGAGGCAAGCACTCTACCAACTGAGCTATATCCCCAGCCTCCTTAATGGAACTTATAAAGTATGTAGATATTTATTTATCAGTTTACTAACAGTAACAGTAGTTCAGTAATTTTTCCTTCCATTGTATACCACAAAGATTTTGGTTGGATAAGAAATTAGTTTTATCTATCTATCGTATACAAAACAAATTATTCTGTTCTGTTGGGAAATGCAAAAATATAATAGTGAGTTAAATATATGCATAAGAGACTTACAAACAAAT